AGCGTCTGCTCTTTGTTCAAGAACCAATTGGTCCAGCAGGTCATCAGACCGAATTACGGTCTCCGTCTTTTCAGGTTGGAGCCTACCACGTATCGTTCCCAGAACCTCTGCATAGGTTTTGCCTTCAGCTGGCTTAATAATTAGTTTGGCGAGACTCTTCTTTTTTCTCACCCTCTTCTTTTTTTTGCGGCTGGTCGCCATGCCCTTTTTGACCAAGGGTTCACCTGGCGCTGGCCCTGGCTTGGGCTTTCTGCTTTTCCCAACCGTTTTCCATTGATTATCTGGTACGGTTTTCTGTGCATTATTATCGTTATTATCATTATTATTATTACCATTATTAATAATAATATTATTACTACTATTATTATTATAGTTGGTATTCTTTTTCTCTTCCGGCTCGCCTGTAGGGGAGTCGGGTCGAGTTCGACCTCTCTTCTGCGAGCCAGGGACAGCCTTCCGTAGCTCGTAAAGGGTAGACCCCTTTCGGTGCTGCTCTCGGAGGTAGCTTAGTATATTTAAGCTCTCCTCGATTTGGGCCATACCCGTTTTTATGTCCATGGACACATTCTTCTGCTCGGAGACAGCACTCTGCATCTTCTTCAAGACGAGCCGAATCTGGGCCAATTGCTCGTCTTCATTGCCTTCGCAAATTCCTAAGCTTGCGGTGGCAAGCCTGTCGCTATTTGCAGCAGCCGGTGTTTGAAGACGACTATCCCGGCTGCCGGGAGTTGCCGTTTGGCAAGGTGTAGCCTTCTGCGCCACGTCGGCGGCTTTATCCGTGCTCGTGGTGCCGGCATTTGCCTGCAGAGGAGTTTGTGGCGGGGAGCGCACAACTCTACTGCTCTTCCTGAATGCGCTGCATTCTTCCGGCATAACATCAACGTCGGCTTCGTTAGTTAGTTTTAATTTATTCATTTCCAATCAATTGGATCTCCACTTCAAGCCGCTATCTCCACACGTAGCACAGTCGCTTTTAAGTGTCCCGAAGTTCCCTTCTCTCAATGGAGCAGGCCATCGCGAGGGTTGACACAAGTCCTTATGGGATATTGTGTTCAGAGTCAAGACAGCGCAAAACCAGGAGTAAATCTCAACTGGACCTGTGCGGCCAACTAAATGGCGACGTGTATTGAACGTACTTGAAGATCTGCCAGGGTTTTAACGAGAAGGAGGCGATTGCAGCTTTGGCCCACCAGCCATTTCTGTGAGGTGTCACCCTCACATACTTAAGTGGCGGAATACTGCTCTCGCCAGCCCAATATCGAACTAATCGTATGCATGCTCCAGTATGCCATGAACAGGATCTAATTGCTCTCGATCCTGGGATGCTTTTTGGGAGGCGGCATCTGTTCGCCCGGACACAGGAGATTCATCAAGCATTTCTGATCTTTTAAATCAGACCCTCGTCTCCTGCCGCTCTTGGTCTGGGACTGCTTATAGGTTATTCGCAGCTAACCTACCGGAGTAGGCCGTTCACGATCCGCCCTGTGTGACCCCGCTAAGGTCCTGAGCATAGCCCTTACCATAATAATAATAATAATAATAATAATAATAATAATAATAATAATAACGGGTATGACCCAAATCGAGGAGAGCTTAAATATACTAAGCTACCTCCGAGAGCGGCGCCGGAAGGGGTCTACCATTTCCGAGCTGAGGAAGGCTGGCCCTGGCTCACAGAAGAGAGGTTGAACTCGATCCGAATCCCCTACAGGCGAGCCGGAAAAGAAAAAGAATACCAACTATAATAATAATAGTAGTAATAATATTATTATTAATAATGGTAAAACCGTACCAGATAATCAATGGAAAATGGTTGGGAAAAGCAGAAAGCTCAAGCCAGGACCAGCGCCAGGTGAACCCTTGGTCAAAAAGGGCGAGGCGACCAGCCGCAAAAAAAAAGAAGAGGGTGAGAAAAAAGAAGAGTCTCGCCAAACTAATTATTAAGCCAGCTGAAGGCAAAGCCTATGCAGAGGTTCTGGGAACGATACGTGGTAAGTTCCAACCCGCCAAGGCGTCGTGCTCATCGAAATGGAGCGCTGTGGCGACCACTCAGCATTTAAGGAAAATGTGTGCACTGCCATTGGCCAGCTTGGAGACGCCCGTATTCTCACTAGACGTTTACGTCTAGAGGTTCTGGGCATGGACTGTCTAACCACGGCCCCAGAAGTGGAGAACGCTATACGCGGGAAATTAAGAGACAAGATGAATGGCCAACTTCGCGTCTCTCTCCTCGCTGTAAA